AAAAAAAAAAAAAAAAAAACACACACTCACACAAAGAGTAGTAAATATTGACCTACATTTGTTTCATGTTTTATCAGGCGAGTTCACTCTCCGTGCTTTTCTAAATGGTCGTTTGGACCTCTCTCAAGCTGAAAATGTTGGCAAACTTATATCAGCCAAGTCTGTGGCAGCTGCAGATGCTGCATTGGCAGGAATTCAGGTATGCGTTCTTAGCATCTGCTGTTATTTGCTTGAGTCAGTCTTAGTTGAGATCATGATAAACAACCCTGAATACTGCTCTGTATGACAGGGTGGTTTCTCCTCTTTGATCAAATCACTAAGAACACAATGCATTGAATTGCTTACTGAGATTGAAGCTCGTTTGGATTTTGACGATGAGATGCCACCCCTAGACTTGAACCTTATTATGGATAAAGTACACGTAATGTCAAAAGATGTGGAGAATGCTTTGGAAACTGCCAATTACGACAAGCTTCTACAATCTGGACTACAGGTATTATGTGTTGGCCAAACCGTCAAAGATTCTTGACAGTTGTTCCTTGTATGTGAAGGGAATCTATCAAGCAATAGTCAATGTACATTCACTTATGGAAGTCCCATTGGTTTCTGTTACCAATAGTCACTATTGGCATCTTACATTCTTCTTCAAACATTTTTTTTTCAAATGTTACTATGCATATTTCCTTACAAAATAGATCATGCTTAGATATGTAAAGCTCCAATGTAGTGGAGTGCTCTGGTATGCTGTCCCAGTTAGTGTATGGAAAATATTTTTCAACATTTTCTTACTTACATATGTGGAAGTTTGAACTTAACATGATGTGTTTTATTAAATTTTGCAGATAGCAATTGTTGGTCGGCCAAATGTAGGGAAATCTAGCCTTCTTAATGCATGGAGCAAAGTATGTTCTGGCTTGATTCATTTGTAGTTCAGAATTTTTACCGTATTGATTGCTATGTGATTGTTTTGCTATGTGATTGTTTTTATTATCTGTCTTCATCTTTTCCACTTAGTTTCTTATTCCTATCATTATGAACTCAAGTGGGTGAGCTGATCTGTAATGGAGATCCAGATTGCATACATGATACATGTCTGTGACAGACACACCAAAGTTCAGACTACCTTTGAGTCCAGCTTAAGCTTCTGTTAGGTCACTGTAGATTATTGTGAACGAGGTATATAGTTCATTTATGTTCATTTATTATATATTCCTTGGGAATTGAGAGATGTTTGATAAAATAATATTGAAACAGAAAAATAAGACAGATCTAATCATCTAATAACGTCCCCTCATCCAGCTGTTAATTTTTAGTGGTAAGACTATATGATTCTAGAAATAAGGTGTGCAAAACAACCTAAGATTTTGTTTGGATTAATAGTCTTACAACCAAACCCAGCCCCCCAACCCAACTGCCCGAAAAAAAAAAGAAAGAGAAACGAAAAAGCCACCTTAGAATTTCAGGAGTAGCTTGGACAGATACTGTGCAAAATTTGAATTTTTTTTTGGGTACTTAATTTGTTTTCAGCATCACATCTTATTGCACACCTTATTTACCTTTTAGCATGCAGAGTGAGAGAGCAATAGTTACAGAGATTGCTGGAACAACACGGGATGTTGTAGAAGCCAGTATTGCGGTACGAGGTATCCCTGTCAAGCTTCTTGATACAGCTGGTATCAGGGAAACTGATGACATCGTGGAGAAAATTGGTAAGACTGCCCTCTTGACGTAATCTTATATGGCTAAAATTCATATATAAGTTGATGTTGATGAAGAGCATGGAAGCAACTACATTGGCCTTATGTGATGTTTCATTTTTAAAAACTTAATATTGTTTTCGGTATCATATACTAGTCAATTAGCATGTGATCTTTCCATGGAAAGTGATTGATTTCCTTGTGTTTGAATGGATTTGAGAAGTGTCCAATATAATTTTGATGTTTTATAAACAAATCTGTCTTTTAACACATTTAACATAGTGTTGCTAGAGATGTTATTCTTTAATCAAAATTCGAGTTTATGTGGATGGTTGTTTCGCCGCTCTATGTCCAACTTCAAATATTGTCTAAAAAAGATTGCTCTAATGCAATAATCATATGACATGCACAAACACCCTGAAGTTTTGAAGTGGTTTCAAGTATTTTTCTCTGATGATAAAAGTTTTGGCTGATTTTGATAAGGTTGTATAAGGAATTGTAGAATTTATGAATGAAGATTAGACTAAACTCCAAAGGTCATGCTCTTGCATTCATTTCCATTAAAATTGGTAATGCATAGTTGAGATACATGTTTTGGATTGAATGGAATATTATGAAGACATGACTCAGGCAAGGACACTTAATGTTATCTCATGATTTGTAAATTTGTTCTTATGTTAGTAAGGAGAAAAGAACTAGATTAACAATTCTTGAACTTGTTGGAATGATTTAAAGATTTGTTTCAAAGGTATGTTTGGATAGCTAAAAAGTAGAAACGTTTTGGAAATGCCTTATATTTATAGAAACTAATGGAAACATGTGGAGGAAATTATTTTTTCCTCAGTAAAGTTCTTTTCTTATTTTTCAACACTGACATTCCATTTTTATCACTATTTATAACATGTGATTTGTTATCCTTGGATACCAAAAATAATATTTTCATATGGAACTCATGCAATAAGTTCCATGGTAGAACAATTTTAAAAATTTATATCAATGTCCGATATGAAGTCAATTTTATGCAGTAGAACCATAATTTGGGTCCCAAGAATGTCATCTAAACAAGCGTGTCAAACTCATATCTATTTCCTTTTCTTCCAAGTCTTTCTGCCCAATTTCATTTCTCAACTAGAAGATAGATTCCAGGTAAAAATTTGAATCTGTACTACCTTGTTTCTAGATCCTATTGAAAACTAAGACGCAAATTAGATTTTAAACATTTGATTTAGGGGCCCCTTTTCAAACATAAATGCTGCATCTGTATTCATGTACATATGTATATAGACGGTCCCAGCAACTGTGCACAAAAACTAATGAAAGGACGTTTGTCGGCCCATTTTGTTGAAAACATAAGAAACGTTTTAGGTTTTGTCCGAAAACATGTATCATCAAAAATACACTTGCATTTTGTTTCTCACCCAACAAAAGTTGAAACGTTTCTCCTGTTCCATACTAAATGAAAGGAATTTTATTCCATGCTTGTGGGTCAGTGTATGGTCTTTGCCTACTGCTTGGCCAAGTTAGCTGACACATTTGAGTGGGTGTGAATACAACAAAATAAGTTCCAGTCAGAGTCACAAATTAGGTGGCCAATTATGGATCCTCTTGCAAGTATTTACACGAGCAGACTATTGTGCCTATTGATGTGTGTGTGTGTGAGAGAGAGAGTTTATAACGTTTACTAGAATTGATTGGAAGAAAGTGATATTCTGCTTATATTGCTGACAATTTTCTTCCCAGGCGTGGAGAGATCTGAAGCAGTTGCTTTGAGTGCTGATGTCATTATAATGGCAGTAAGTGCTCTGGACGGGTGGACTTTGGAAGATGCCAAACTTCTTGATAAAATTCAGCACAATAAGGTCTTACAAACAAACCCATCTGTCTGTCTCTTCTTAGTAGTTGGATTACGAAAGAGTTCATTTGAAAACTATTTATACCTGGTCCATTAATGTTCATATCTAGAATTCATGTCACTTTGCTTATTCCTTTCCTTTTTCCTCTTCAGATTCCTTATATTGTGGTTTGGTTTAAATGTTGGAATTATAAAGTGAAACTCCAAGCACTAGTAGTTTTAATATTTTGCTTTGGATCTTTTCATTTTATTCTATTGGTCAAAATTTTACAGAGTGCATCTGGATCTACGTCTCCCATAATCCTTGTCATCAACAAAATAGACTGTGTGCCATCAGCTTGCTCCAAATGGGTTAATACCCATGATCACTCTATCAACAAGCATATTTTTACTTGTGCTGTCACTGGTCAAGGAATATCAGATCTGGAGGCGGCAATTGTAGAGATTGTGGGTCTGGACAGGATTCCTGCAGGGGGACGCGGATGGACTGTGAACCAGGTTAGCTACCTTTATGGTCATTCGCATCTACCTTCCAAATTGCCTACTCATTTCAAATGCCAATATTTGGGTAATAATTGTAACTCAAAATACTGAGTTGATGAGTCTGGATGAGTAAATGTGAATATGGTAGTAGGCTGTGAATCTTTGCGAAGTCAGCTTCACTTGAGTAACCCATAGTTGATAGTTCTGCTGGTTAGACATGATCCTTTCCCTTTTGAATTGTGTCCGACTTTCCTAGTTTTCGCCCCTGATTGGCTAAGATTACCTTTTAGGAAATTGTTGGTTTTAGTTCCTGGTAAGGTATTGTTGACCTGCCTTAGAACTGGGGATTACAATTCATCTGACAAATGGGAGTCGTCCGGCCTTGCTTAAAAGTTCTGTTCCCCTATGAGGTCTGAAATTTTAACTCATTAGGTCAGTATTGAACTGAGTACAATGCACCGTTTAAGAGTTCTGCCATTGATGTTAGAAAAGGTTTGCGTGGACTAGGAGAGGCCTCTACTATAAGATGACAAAAGGTGTGTCAGCCCAGGTTGAGCCCTACCCATAACTTGAGCCTAAAATATGAAAATCCAAAGCGTGGCCCTATAATTGTTTCGTGGCACCATTTATCTATAATAGCACATATAGCAAGAAGTTAACCACGGTAGAATAATAATTCTATGGGTAAATTATACCCACATTCCTTGAGGTTTGTCACTTAAGCTGACAAAGACAGACCTCTAATGTATGAAAAGTAATACCATGAGCCCTTGAGGTATTTGTGATACCAAATTACTTTCGGATTTCATATTCCATTTGACATGCTGTGTAGTTTTTGTGATGTCAGCATACTTTTAAAGCGTGATTCCAAACTTCCCCATGTAGGACCCCTCAACAAATTTGGCAATTTTATAAAAACCCAATAATTTCTGAATTCCATTAAAACCCACAAACCCCTAATTTCTTTCCATATTTACCTCCCTCATCCCCTTATTTCCAATTGTAACCAAATTCAAGGTGGGAAAAGGCAGAAGAACAGAAACTCATCTTTAAAACCTCATGTTTTTCAAAACCCATTTACCAATCAAAACAATGTAAAAGCACGGATTCATGATATAGAGCCCACCTGGCTTTGTTTTGGATGACATTGTGTCTTGAATGGTACCACTTAAATCAACAGTTCCCCGTNCATCTTTAAAACCTCATGTTTTTCAAAACCCATTTACCAATCAAAACAATGTAAAAACACGGATTCATGATATAGAGCCCACCTGGCTTTGTTTTGGATGACATTGTGTCTTGAATGGTACCACTTAAATCAACAGTTCCCCATTTAAACACAAACTAGATACAATTAGCCCAGCAGATGAGGGTGGTGGTGGTGGTGGAGGGTGCCACCATTCTGATATGAGGGTGGGGAATGGCTCAACCTGGACCTCTTTATCTTCTTCTACACTTAGCTGATACCAGAACCAGAAGCGTTGAAACTGCAACACCTTCGGTCAATACTTCAATGACCACACACTGTGACACCATTTTCTGGGTGCAGTGGTGCTTATGTCCCTGAATTCCTCCGATATTAGGCTACTCATGGTACTCATATAAGCCGTAGATTTTTTTTTTTTATTATTCCAGTTCTAATGCTTGACTTGTAATTAATTGATCTCAAATCAAATCATCGTTCAACATTAACTCTGTTTTATTTACCTCTAATTCGTTAAGTATTTAACAGAGACAATGTGAGCAGCTTCTTCGGACCAAGGAGGCTCTTGTAAGGTTGAAGTCTTCAATAGAGGAGGAGTTGCCTCTTGACTTTTGGACAATTGATTTGAGAGAAGCTGCATTGGCACTTGGGCAAATAAGTGGAGAAGATATCTCTGAAGAAATTTTGTCTAACATCTTTGGCAAATTTTGCATTGGTAAATAGTTTTTGATCCAACTACTTTAACTCATCTTGTAAATCAATTTTGTTTCTTTTGCAATCCTTGATTGTTCATTCAAGCAAATATAACCTCCTCTTTATTAGAATACATGGTCTTCCATTCATTTTATTTATTTAAGTTTAGGAGAATTTTACAGTATTGGGAAAAAAATTGGTACCGTATTGTCATATACAACTTTTTGGGGGTTATTATACAACTTTTTAGGATTATTTATATTTCTTTTTGAGAGTTCGAGATCAATCGTAAAATGTTGAATTTGATCCCAAAATTCCAGTAAGGTTGCAACCTACCCCTTTTTTTTTTTCTTGAATAGTTGCAACTTATCCTTAAAAAAGTGTAACTTAACTCGAGGATCAAATTTTTATTTCAAAATGTCCAAACGTTTTAGTTTTTAAAGAGATCGAAACAAATCAGTGATGAATTTAAAATTTTAATATTTTAAGATGTTTCATATTATTTCGAGTTATTTTGTAATATTTTAATATATTTGTATAATTATTTTAGAATATTTTAAGATATTTTAAGATGCTTTAACATATTTTGATTAATGTTTCAAAAAAATAATTTTTAATTTTTTTTTATTACATTTTCAAAACAAGTCGAAATGATTTTAACACACGTTGAAACGTGTCCATTAAGTGACTGAAACACTGTATTAAAATAAAATTTCAATCCTTAATTTAACTCCAAAAAATGTATTCTTTATGTAACTCAGACTCCGAAAAATTATATTTTAAACCACAAAATGTTGTAAACTGCAGTACCATACACCTCCTTTGATAGAAGTCACATCCACACTATATACAATGTTCTTGCCATTGCATACTACTGTTGGGGACTGATTGAGAAGGGGGGGTATAAGGGAGCTTGACAAGAGGAATTTGAAAAAAATAATTCAAAGGATCTCTAAATCTCATGTTTGAATTAAAAATTTAATTTTAAGTTCTCAAACCAGTCCGTAATTGGCCCAAAGATTAAACCCATAATCATATGTTTGACGAAACCTAGAGAGGGGGTGAATTTGACAAGATAGGTTAAAGGGTTAAGAATACAAAAGACAATTGTATCTCTTAATATAAATATAAATTGAATTAATCTAGGGTAAAATAGTCATTTATATGACAAATAATTGTTAATAATTATGATATATCAATGAGTCCTATATATATATATATATATATATATATGTTGGATACCAAACATGATTATGAACCGGATTGAATGGTGAATCCCATCTTTGTAAAGAGGGGTTTGAATTTGGAAGGATTTAGAAAACCAATCCAAACCCCTCCCCAAAATTCATCCAAACAAGCTCTTATAGCATTAGTATTTATATTCATCACACCATTACTACTGAACACTTTCACAATCTTGAAACACCGCCATTGATTGCATTAAGATAAAAAAAATATCCTCTATTTATGAAAAGAGGAGATAAAAGCTGGACAGAACAAAAAGAATGTTGTTGAATACCAACAGAATAATTGAAATATAAAAAAAGATTAATCAGGCACCCAGGTAGAAGCTGATGAAATACAACCAGCCAACTGAAACAATTGGAGACTCACCCCTATCAGACTACCAATATCAACAGTTTTCAAGCCAATAACTACCCAAGAGCTTCTCCAACTCCTTCATACTACCAGTGAAGTTTCATTTCACCGAGAAGACGAGTACATTATGGCCAGGCAGTATCCATTGAATTCCAAGCTTCTCCAACTCCTTCATACTACGAGTGATTATTGTGATATTTGATTGTGAACCGTAAATTCAAGAGACTTTGAATTTTGTAGACAAGTTGCGAATTTTTTGGGCTCCTATTGATAGAGCAATATCTGTTGAAATAGTAATTACCAATAAATGTCAACTTGTTTATATTGATTTTAATTTCTTTAATTAAAACAATTTAAAGTAACTTTTTTTTTTTTCAAATTAATTAGTTGGTTTACATCGCAACGTACCTTCATGCACGGGTTACTCCTAGTATGTAGATAGTTCATGATCAAAATAGAACTATGACCCAGGAGCAAAAGGAGTTGATTTTGGAACTATACTTGCCTGTTGAGTTACAAGCTATCTAATCAATTGAGCACTTGTCGAAGTTCATGAATTAATTGTTCTCTAGTTGATGGTTCCACCTGCATAAGATTTTGCATATATCAACTCGTATCCCAGAGATTACATAAAAATTCAGCTTCATTGCAAGAAATTTTCTTACGGTTTACCTTGCTTAAAAGGGCGGCAAGACCTTGTGGTAGAGCTCGTAAATCTGATGTTGAATCACCAATCTTTGATAACTGAAGCAACACTTTCTGCAAACGCAACTCCTGCAGATGTTCTGCATAGTTTCCAGGATCATTTATCCATGTGAAGAAAGCTTTATCATCCATCCAAGCATCTTCTTCTCTGCCTCCCACGTTTTTGGAGTTTAAAAACCACTTCTTTATCATGTCCATTGCATATCTATACGAAAGCTGGTCACCAGAAGTTTCTCTCACCGTCTTGATCAATGTTCCCTCAACAACTCTCCGGTGCAATCTTTTGCAGAAGAAGGACCGCGAATTAGTCCAGTCAATAACTAGTCTGATCACCCCTTTTGCAGCCATTCTGAATGAAGTATCATGCAATTCTGCAAATTTTGTAGCTATCTGAGTGTACACTGGCAAAAGCTGCTTCTCCCGAGCTTTTATCTGCTGTTGTAATGTTTCAGCAATCATATAGGCCCCTGTGCTCCTGGCTTCCAAAAGTTTTTCCTTCAGATTTATCAGCTGTTGGTCGAGCCTACCCATGCACTCCACTTGTTCTTTTGTTCTGAACTTGATCTCAATCATACCTTCTGGCTCGAGGACATTTCCTTTCGCTGTTCGTTCGGCATACATTTCAATATGGTCTGAGTTGATCTTACTGTCCACCACAACCCATGCCCCACCACGGAGCTCACCCGTCATGGGGATGTACACAAAAACAGGCTGCTTGTATGTTCTAAGGTTCTCAACAATGGTTGATCCAGCCTGAAGGATTCCTTCAAAAAGGTCCCTCTGTCCACCTGAAAAGCCTCTCCAGTTAGCAAGAATGAAAAGAGGAAGCTCTTCTCTGTTGAAATCCATCAATGCTTGAGCTGTCTTAGTAGCAGAATCAGGAAACCATACTTGCCCAGCTTGAGGGACAACCCTTTCATGGGAATCAAGTTGCCCAGGGTCTGCGGGTATAACTTGCATCATTGTTTGAGTCTCAACAGCAACTATACCTACAGGAATTCCTCCAAGCTTTGCCCGTCCGGTCACAACTGTTCTTGCCCAGCCTTCCAGCGTCTCAACAAAGGTATCCCTGTCAAATATACCTCCCAGCCACTTCCCACTACTGTCCAGGGCACCACAGATAGCTGCACGGGGATCGCAAGTGTTCTCGGGAAGGTACTCAACAGGCCTCTCTGGGGGATCCAAGGGAGTCACAATGGGAAGTGGACCGCCTGAGTAGGGTGGAACAAAGCTTAACCACTTCAAAATGGCCGAAATCCCTTCAAGATCATCATAAACAGTCAAATGAACGACACCATTGGTTGCCATGATTTTAGGTCCACCAAGTTGCATGTGGGAGCTGTAGACCTCCCGACCCAAAAGTTTATTTAGTGCTGAAAACCCAGTTAAAATTATAGGCTGATCGAGCTTCTGTATACAACGAATCCCAAGACGAGATAGATAAGCACCTATACCAACAGTTCTTCCTGTCACATATGTCAAGGTAAAGGTTTCCATGTATGCCCTTGAATATGCACCGGCAATGGCTCCACTACCAGTTAAGTTCTCAACGCCCAGGCCATCCTCCTTTCCTACAATAGTGTCTAGTACCCATCGGGTTTCTGCACTTGACAGCTTCAACTCATGTGCTATCACAGACGATCCAATGCGGGCATGATCCTCTGGAGTTATATATATATACTGAAAACCACGCTCCGGGCTTGATTCCTCTGACCAGCCAACTTTAAAGCAAGATTTTACTTCCTCGGCTACCCCTATACGGGCTCCTGAGTTTGCTGCCAGATAAATGAGAGGCAGTTTCTTAGTGCAAGCTAGATCAGTCACAGCTTGGAAAAATGCATCCTCTCTAGGGCCGAAAGATCCATTTTTGAAGGTCACATCATTTGCTACTACCAAAATTGTCCTTCCACAAGGAAACTCAGGCGTAGACATTTCCATACGCCAGGCTACCATGCCAACATCATTGAGCCCAGGTTGGCGCTCCACGGAAACAAGAGGAGTACCCCAGGTACCTTTCTGGTCAGCAAAAATGAACTCCATGACTTTGAGAAGAACTTTACCCTTGGATTTGGTAGAACCTGAACAATGGGATGCCCAAGACTTTTCCAAGGCCGCTTCAAATGCCTACAAACAAGATTTCTTTTTAAGAATACATTTATTGAACTTAAATATCTATAATTCCACATAAATAAGGGTTTTTAAAGATGTTCACCAGTGGGAAATCATAGCAGTAAGTGGTGTTGCCCTTCCTGGCTAGAAGCCGTTTCCGATCAAGAACTCCCAGAGGTTGATATTGTGCATTCACAGGTACACCATGCAAAGGGCCTTGTGCAGAGGTAGAATGGTAGACCGCCTTTTGTTTGCCGGTATCTTCCAGTTCTCGGTATATCTGTTATATTGCCAATATCACAACTTTGACTCTTATTCACAGATTTTTGGCATCACAATTACGTGAATTTAACAATTTTAAGCTTTATCGATAGTACCATAGAACTGCTACAATCTAACTTTCAGTATAAAGGCGGCAAGCAATGTACATTGTAATACAGCAACAAGGGATGGTGTAATTGCTAGTTTAATTGGTGACAGCTTGGCCACCCTAAAGGTACCATGCACAGGTGATATATACCAGCTAATTTACACAATTCTGACAGCCACTTGGTGCAAATAATGCCGAAGGTTAGGCCTGTACCCAATCTACCTCTCCCAGGCCCCCATTAATGCGAACTAAATCAGGAGTGTGTGTGTGTGTCTGCTTTAATTCATCTGGTAATCTGTATCCATAAGTTTTATCTCTTGACCGGAAAATTAATAACTCATGACTAAAACTTGTGTGCTGTTATCTGCTGTAACCAACGGGGAAATTACTTCATTAGCCACTTGTTAGTCTACATTTGCTAACCAACTTCTAGTCACAGTCACAGAAAAGCCTAGGTTGCTGGACAGTGGGAATTGATTTATGAACTCACTCACTTACATGCACAATGCAGGTGTGACCTGTCACATTTGTAACCACAACCCTCCAAGTACCATTGGCTTGTCCAACAGATGACATCCAAAGCTTCACTTCCCACTCACAAACACCTAACCGATGCATTTTCACACCAATGGATGCATGAATTTCATGTGCCATCTCTTTCAAGATTGTCTCCACTGCAGCTTCTTCTTGACCAGCATCTATGTCAATTCTCCTGGCAACAATGACATATAAGTAAATAAACATTAATTTAGCAACTTCACTTTGGAAGGGAGAAAATTTACAGTGACAGGAATATGCATATGCTTACTTGGAGAAAGGCACAAGATCATCAATTTGTTGCTCCCGTAAGATATATAGGTACATATGAGCATGGTCTGATTTGACTGTGGCATTATGCATATGGAGTTCCAACTCCTCCATTGCAGTCATTAAAGACCTCAAAATGCTCCTTGAAGTAAAAGACAAAGCCCACTGTGATTGGGCTGTGCCCATGTCAAGCCCTTGATACCCTGTGAACCCTTCATTTGTTGTAGACTGCCTTACGAGTGTTCTGAGAAACATCCTCTGGATTGGTACTGGCTTGTCTACAACAGTGTATAGGTGCCACTGACGGTCTCGGGATGGAGTATACTGTATATTCTCATATCCCTTCAATTTGCCCTGGATTAGAAAAATGGTTATGGACTTCAAATCAGCTGAAAAGTGCATACCAATTGAGTTTTATTTTATATCAATAATGTAGTCACAAACCAATTCAAGGTATATGGATAGAGGAGGCTCCAGGTGACGCAATAAAGGAGCTTCCTCATAAAAGAGCTTCTCTGCTGACCAATGGAAGGAGTGCCTCATAGGGCCCCGCCCTTCATCTCTCTGTATGATGCAGCTGATAACCCCAACACCTGCATTTCTGAGACTGGAGCTTACTTCTTTCTCCCTAAGTATTTTGGCCAACTTGTCAATTCTCTCTTGAGCCTGATCCTCATCGCCACTGCAAATAATCAAAATGGTACTGATGGAGTAGGGCAAATATAATCATTTGTCTGGCAAATGATTCATGAAAAACAAAGGAAAAAACTGAGCTACCGTGTATCTTCTGAAGCAGGACCATTAACACAACGTATATGCTTATATGCATTGTGTAAGATGAAATGCTGTGTTTATCAAGGAAGGGAAGGGAAGGATAATTGTTTTTAGGCAGGGAAAAGTACAACTGAAAGAACTCAGTTTTGAGAACTGGTTTGAGTGATTTCATCAAATGATGGGGCCAAGTGAATCCAATCCTGTTAATTCTTAACCAAACCAGGCTTGCCAAAAATACAATTATAGAGATTATGCAATCGAGGAAGGAATTTTTGCATTACAGTTGGAGAAACCTTTCATAAAGTCATCTAGCTATGCAAGTAGAAAAGCCAAGGGTAGGTTATGTACCTGTCCTGAAGATAACTCATCTGGTTATTGATGCCCACCAATGCAATATGCATCATGTTACCATGGGTAGCTGGATGAACAGATACATTTGTCATTGCGTCATTGAAGTTGTTAGTAGTTTCCCTCAATGCAGCACTTATCACTGTTGGCAATAAATGAAGAGATTTGATGATAAGCATGGCTCCCCATTTCCTTTCACCATGTTTCTCAGCCATTGTTTTGTCCATCATATGATCTTCAGACACATTCATCCTCTCTATATGCTCTTCCAAGAACTCCCATGAAGCAATAAGACCAGATCTATGCCACTGCATCCTGACACTACCCTTTACAAGGTATGGCTGATGATAGATATCCAATGTTAGATGGGTAGTTCAGAGTAAGGTAAGCAGATAAGGTAAGCAGATAACCACAAGTCTGCACAGCATTACCTGATACAGTCTACGAACATAAGTCTCCACCACCCGCCTCTGAAGGGTGTGATCACTGTGATCAAAAAGTCCTACAAGGGCGTCTTCAACTGCTAAAGGAGCACTCACAAGATCCTCCATCCGTTCATTGATAGCACTTTTCCTCTTAGGAGTATCCATGTTTTCACCTTCTTCAGTAAACATCTCTAGTTCAGAAAGACTTCTGGCACTGTTGGACCGAAGTTCACTCAATTTGGTCTGTTCTAGCAGTTGACTCGCCTTCAGTGCTAGCTGCAACAATAGTAAGAATTCTGTTTAGAAAACAACAACCAGTTGAGAATCAAGAAACAAAAACGAGTACAAGCTGACATAATGTCTAAAGTAACGTGAACTTTAAAAAGAAAACCATACAAATTCAATCCCTTGACCGATTAGATGTGATAAAAAATTTCACACACACTCATTCTGTGAGTACCGTAACACAGTGGAACTGCCAACCTCGGAATAATTTGTATGGTTTAGTGCAGAGAATCGTATTAGTTTGTCCCTGTATGCAGCAGGGTTGGGGTACACCAATTGTTCCATGAGCCGTAGTATCAGCTTATTTTTGCTCCTAACACCCTGCAAACCAACCAGCATACATGGTTCTAAATATTTCGATCTAAACAAAAAACAAGAACCAAAAAGGAGCAAGCAGGTCAACTGAGCATGTTTTTTTCATGTATACCTGATGAGAAAGAACGATGTCCACAACCTTCAGGAGATCTTTCTTATATTGAAGACGAAGACGTTCAATCACGTCAGCCTAAAAAGGAAAGGTTATTGGAATCCACAAACCAGTCAAAAAGAAAACATGTCAGTTTCTGGATGAACCACCCTGTTTCGTACACTTATGGCTTTTAGAGTACTAGAACCAACTAGATGGTTAATAGAGTTTGACGTAAATGGATAAATTATCGGCACGATTTTCGCAAACATGCCTCATTCAAACTTCACTATAGTTCAGGACAACATAAAAGATTTGTTTGGCAAGTGACATGTGGTAAGTGAAACTTAAAACATCATATAGAAATAATTAAACTTGCAGAAAAGGAAATTAAGAAAGACTGGTTCCTGCGCCAGCAACCGGTAAGTTGGACAAGTGAAACAATGAGCTGGTCATCAGATAAGTAAATATAGACGAGACCTACAATTAAGTTGAGATTGAACCACATGCCTCAATTGACTATAGTATTTTTAAAAAAGACGAGTGAAAATGAATGGATGTTGTGCATAAAGTCCCTGGTTTTCTGGTAAAAAATCTGTTGGTATCACAAATTATTTGTGTTTCATAGGGAAAACTCACCTGAATATTGTCGCTAAATAATTCTTCAACAGATAAATACCCTTCAAAAAGGGCCTGAACAATAACACCGGCATGACTCTCTCTTCCACCCTCATAAGACTTAGCAAGACTCATCAAAGGCTCAACAAGCCTTTCTTGGGCTCCCTTTTCTTTATCAGGGCATGAGTTTAGATGGGCCTGCAGCAAAAGAGTAAGTACTCTAAACTTGGATTATTGCTCAAACAACGAAGATTTAAGAGAATACAATGAACCGACCTCAAGAACACTTCGCAAAATTTTGGCAGGAAAGTCAACATTTTGCAAGCTGGAGATGCCTTCATACTCCTTATACTTTGATTCCAACTGGAGAAAAATACACAAATCAAAATTGAAACTTGGAGTATGAGTACAAAACTACAATTATTGTAAAAACGGAGAGGGAACCATCAATATAGGCATTTACCTCATATCTGAGGTCTTTAGGAAGTCTGGTTGCCAGAACAGACAAGCACTCTTGCCACTGGAGGAAAGGCAGTTCAGGATTGTCAAGACAACTGAGCAAGTTTTGCACTACCTGAAATAGAGATTTAAACTTTCCGATAAGTGAAAATATAAGGATGATAATCATTCCATTAGATATGGTCAAAGATAGTTTCAATCTTTTCATGGTTAAAACTTCCAACTTATCAAAACCCCCTCACAACTTTTTAATGGGCAGGAGAATACTTCATCGATATTATGCTCATATCCAGCAAGAATCATTTGAGCTGCATTCAAGCTTGCAGCACACCTCTGATGAACCTTTCCAGATATTGCAGTTGGAGGCCCCAGAACTGGGAAGCTCCCATGGAAAGGTTCTGCTTTTCTCACAGCTGAAGTATCATCCAGATCAAGCCTTGCTATAAGCTCTCCAGCCTACATAAGAAGTGGTTCATTACTCAACACCAAAGACAGAGAAAAAATCCTTACATGAAACATGAATTACCTGCATTGCTTGACCTTCAGACATATTAAATTGGATAACTCCAGAAGCAGGTGAAAGAAGTGGCATACACATCTTCATAACCTCAACTTCCGCATATGGAGTGTCAGCATCAACATGACTACCATCTGAGACCAAAAACCATAATAGTTTGCATGGTGTCTCTGCCACTAACTTAGATGGATCATGATCGTTCTGGATACAAGAAATATAAGTAACTGAATCTCAGCCAACAAAATTGAAAATAGATAGTGGGCGAGAAGATAGCTTTTGGCACCTGAAGCAAGCATGTCCTTCCATCAATCAGAAGACGTGTTCCAGCTGCTTCTTCCTCTGCATATATAACGTGACTCTTTCCATCCAACTGTGATAAAACAACATGATCTCATTCTATTATGTGCTTATAATGCAAAATAAGTTAGTGTATTGTCACTTGTAGCCGTTTACATTTTTACCCTAAAGAATACACAAAATACAGAGAATGATTGCTTGCCTGCATCAACAAACCCCCATCACGTAGAGTATGTATCTCCGCTTCAATCTTTGATTCATTCATCCTCAGTCTGTAACTTCCTGGTCCTCTCCTCACCATATCAATCTATGAAACAACCCATGATGGTTACTGCACAATGACTATTTTCTTTTTTCTGGGAAGGGGTTGGAGAGGGGAAGAAATCTGAAGATTCTGAACAGCCTACACTAACCCCAGCCACCCCTTTACCACCTGATCCAACGCCCACGGGCAATGTCTTGTCAAATTAATTAGCATTATATGTAACTACTTACTGTGTATTTGCTTCCTTCGATATTCAGAGAAACTTGAGAATGAACCAATGATATATTCTGCAAGAAGGGTTGGTAATCATTACATGAAAATGAAAATAAACTTAAATTCAAATCAGGTCTTGATGCGGTACCTTAGGAGGAATTTGCCCCTTTTCAAGATATCCAACATAATCTGAAACCATGGCTGCACTGCTAGCAGAAGCTTTCTGAGGTTGACAAATTGAGGGGAAAAGGTAAACAGTTAATGAGGCTGAGAGTACATTTTACAATATAAAGCTCCAGAAACCTAAAAGCTTTAAAAATCAGTGCACTTACATAAAGAGCTCCTCCAACCACAGAAAGATACCAAGGAGGCCTTTCAGCCCTAACCCGCATCGCAATTCTACTGTCTAACCAGCCTGTATGTATTTTGTTGTCCCTGTAATCTGGAGCCTGAAACATATTTTCATATGTTAACCTCTATTCGGAGAAACAAAATCATAACCAAGGAGACTCCATCAGCTTGGATTTTCCACATTCTAGAAGCTTACATGTAACAGATCAATTGTGTAATCGACATTTGTCCGAATCTCCCCTCGAATTTGAATTTCCTTCAGCCCAAGAACCATGTTGGCAATGGCCAGGGCTCTGGACTCTCCAAATGCAAAAACATGGCCTGAAATAAGATTGCATTCACTAATATAGCCACAGGCACTGTAATAACTTCAGAGTATCCAGACACCAAAACACGAGTATGCTTAGAATTAAAAGGAAATCATTGTCTAAAAATGTAGTACATTTGTCATTTAGGAGTATATAAAATAATAGAACAGAAAATTAACAAAAGAAGTACAAGGAATATGAGAAAACATATGCTAATTATGTGTATTATTGAAGTGAATTGGGAATTATAGTGCCTAATGGATATTCGTCTCTGCCAGAGAAGGTTCAGGTAATTGCATAGCTTCATGTTAAGTGTGAATTACACTAATCAATTCATCCTTGTATAGCTGTAGGAGAAATAGAAGTAATCCAAAAAATCTTTTACCTACGCATCACTCTAATCTTCGAGGAAATAAATACGTAAAATCATGAATTAAAATCTATAAAGACAGCTTTGCCCTGAAAGACTTGTAGCACACCCTTTGTTGGTTCCCTTTATTGGATCTACCAATAAAGAATAGCTCAATGTATAAGAAAATGCACGACCTTAAAATGTTCACACAATGGTTTCGAGGTGGAGCCAAAAATTCTATCTAGGGTGGACACTTTACTTAGAAACTTTATTTATTTTTCCCTCAATTAGTAAAAATAAAATAATATATTTAAATATATTGCATTGTATTTGATACTTAAAGATTTATAAAATAGAAAAAAGGGTCAAACGTCGGTAAATATAGCGTATACAAAAAAAAAACCAAAAAAAAGAGAGACTAATTACACCCCTTCACAACAAATGAGACTAATTGCATAAAAGATACTATATTCTTTTTCTATACAACCAATCAAACTATTAGTCATTGATCACTCATTCAGTTATGCAACTTAGTTTGTACAATCTTTATAGCGTAAAAAATGAGTTTAACATGTCAAAAACTTATCTAGATATATCCATAAAGTATCCAAAGTGCGTCAAAAAGTTTATAGTTATTTAGGATTGGGACTATATTAATTGATAGAACAAAAAATGATAGAGTGGGTACTGTGCCACCTCAATATACTTACAATTATTTGAAATATACATAAGTAATAATTTTTTTTTAAAAAAAATTAGAGTGGTTCCATTGCCCCTGGTCCTTAAGTGGCTCCACCCATACTTTCCAAGAAAAAATAACTTTAAACATTTTACTTTTATTACGTTTAACCAAACATCTACTTTTTAGAAAAAGACCCCTGTTTAGAAATACCTCAAAATGTTTTAACTTTGTTATCTGAATAAGCCCACCCCTAGAATACCACATGTCCACAATTAATGTACTGTATCCTTTTTCCTGTTCTGTTCCATATGCTAAAATGATCCATGTTCCAGGTAACATGGGTTGTTTGTGTCTATGTCCAAAAGCAATTGAAGAGGCTATTGATAAACAAGAAAAATAAAATCTAGAAATTCACCCAAATCAGGAAGAGTTTGTATTAGGCAATTGACCTTTTGGAGCCAATTTCAACTAGTATAGTTTAGTTTGTCTTTTGCACTTCTCAAAAAGTTGACAAATTCAGCTTCTCATTAAGCTGCACCCATGTTCTTATTTAACTGGGTCATCAACCTAATACTTACCAAATTGTGAATCTGAGAATTCATGAATGCCTCCTCCAGACTGCAATAATCCATGTTGGGTCAATTAGTATTAGGTCAGGCTGTTTGAAGTTCTGTCAACATATGTACAAAACATACCTTGACGGAGAAGTAGGCCCATACATTTGGCTTGCTTTTAAAACTCAACTCCTATGCAAAGTCAGTTGATTTACTACAGGTTCAAAATGGAATCACAAATTGACAATAAAAGGAAAAATGAACACTATATTGGGTAAGCTAACCTGTACTTTCCCACTAGTAGGCTTGAAGCCATCATCAGGATCCTCACTAGTCACACGCACAGCTACACAATGACCTTTTGGCTTTGTAGATTCTGCTTTGTCAAAATCAAATGGAGTAACAACAACCGATCTTCTTCTCCAAGCATCATACCCTCCACCATGTTCCATTCCATAAAATCGCCTTATTTCTAATCAAAGAGGTATGTAAATGCAGCAGTTAGAAAACAAAGAGAATGACAAATAGAAGGTTTAAAATAATGAACAAAATTGGGTTCCATACCTGGAATTTGCCAGAGAGGAATACCCATTCCAACAGCAACTTGTGCCGCTGGCAGATTAACTTCAGCTATCCACTCAGTGACAGGGTGCTCTACCTAAATTAGAATCAACTGTAAGATTACAAGCAGAACAGATCCGATAAAGGGGTGGCCAATTCAAAAAAACAAAAAAATGGGTGGCCAATGTGCCCAATAAACCAATTGTTTCAAAACCAAAAAAATGAATTTGTCAATAATATAAACAAATTAGTAACACAAGATCAAAAGTGTGCTCCTGCGCACCAGCTGAAGAAAGGAGTTTTGGAAGCTTACCTTGTTCTTATTAAAAGGTGAAAGGGGTCCAAACCGATCTTACTAATAATAAGAAAGGAACAAGCTAAAACAAAACCTACTCCTAACAAGCTGCCGGATCAAAGTAGGAAATTCTCCATCCACCCGCCAGCAGCAGAGTATGCAGGTGGAGAAGGCCACCAGGCTGATTGATTTCTGGTCACAGGCAGCTAAATCTACTAACAAAAGACTGAGTTAAACCTTGATGAATTTCTAACCTTTGAAAAGATTTTTGGTAGTTCCTAAAATATTTGGATAAACATTGAAAACTCCTAAAATACAAATGGCAATGTATAAGGATCTCATTGAATATCAATCCAATTTCAGGATACAATAAATTCATACTAATCCAACTAGTCAAGTAAATCAAAAGAGCAAATAAGCAAATACATTGTTTTGGGAGTGCATTCTAACAAGATCTAACACAAGTGACAAGGATTAAAATTTCATTTCGGTGCATTGTTTTGGTCACTTAGAAAACAGAAACGTTTCGACCCATTTCGGAAATAGAATAAAAAAACAAAAAAATTAAGAATTATTTTTCTAAAACATTAGTCGAAATATACCAAAATATCTTGAAATATTTCGAAATAATTGTGTAAATGTATTGAAATATTACAAACACCTCGAAGCATTATGAAACTCCTTGAAGTAATAGAATTTTGATTCTATCACTGATTCGTTTCGGTCTCCATGAAAACGGAAACGTTTCGGATGTTTCAACCGTTTCGAAACGAAATTTTGATCCTTGACAAGTGGGTATCTTTCACTGTTTCAATTTTAGCAATATATTTTCAACCATCAAATAATCAATTTAATGAAAAAGTTAAAAATGGAATAGAAGATTAAATGTTGCTAGTCATGGCTCATGGTCTACATTATTTCTGGCTTCACTTCTCATAGCAAGGGTGAAAGGAGGGTTACAAGTCCAAAATCTCATGAAAACAAGAAAGAAGACGTTAGTCTGGCTCATGGCTATATAAACCGTGGCTCTGCTGCCTATGGTGGTGAGTGGGAATATAGAAAGTAGGATATCAATTTTTAGGCTATCAGGGTTACGTATTACTGAGGCAGTTGATCATTTATTTAAACAAGGACAGAGAGGACAGTAAAAGACTTTTCTGTGCAATGGAGTATTTTTCATAATGTAACACATACCAGGATTATCACATGTAATATATCTTGAACTTAAAAAAGGGACTACAGATGGAATTTTTTCAGTTGTACGCGAGTAGATGTATCATAAGTGTAGTTATTTACAAAGAAAGGCACAATGATAAACACTAAACACAAGTAGGCTGCTCATGAGGTATCACTACAACTAAGAGTTTAAGATTTAGTGGTCAGCAGTTCTGATTCCCACCATGTGCAATGGCATAATAAGATGGCAGCACAAAAAGGTGATTAGAAGAGTATGACATGGACCAACATTGTTTTTCACGAACCTGCAACCGAGGGTTGAGCTCTAAGAAATAATACTCCCCAGTCTCCATACTGTACAGATACTCCACAGTAGCAGCTCCAACATAATTCACAGATTTGGCTAATCTTCTTGCAGCCTGCTCCAGTTTTTTCACTGTATCTGGAGGAGCTACTGTTATTGGGCCCTCCTCAATAATCTGTACAACATGAAAACCAAGTTAGATCCCTCAATGTGACATAAGCAAAATATCATACCTGTTATAAACATATTTTCAACCAAAAAAAGAGAAAATTCAATTGCATATTATAATTCCTAAATTTTTTTACAAGAAAAAGGAAAAATTATTTCAGAGTTTCCAATTTATATCATCTTTGGCAGTGTATATAAGGAAACCATTCGATACAACTTGAAAAGAAGGTACAGAAATAATCAGGAGCAAAAGTATGAAGTCACCTTTTGGTGTCGCCTCTGAACACTGCAATCACGGCTATGCAAAGCTGCAACATTGCCATACTGATCACACAGCAACTGAACTTCTAGATGTCGACTCTATCATCAAGAAATCAAATAAATGTACGAATAAGGGCTAGATCTCCAAGAAATCCATGCAGAAACACCTGTTTCAGATTGATATGCAAAACATGATCTAACCTGGGAAGCAACTTTCATTATAAATATGGGGGAGCCAGGAACTTCACCCTGGACTTGCTTGAATAATGCCTTGACTTCATCGTCATTATGAACCTAGAAAATTCAATAGTGATATGTTGCAACTCTAT